GATAAGGATGCAGGTAAGAAAATATCTGTTTGATCACCTCCTCATCACTTTCATCGTCACCAGCTGCATTTTTTATTCGCTCAAGATGTGGATCAACAGCATCATCATCGTCATTCTCCAGAACCTTCTTTATACCAGCAGTAGGTTGGCCATCTCCTAAGTTCATAATTTTCAAGCCCTTTGAACTGCATGTGCAGGTGAAAAGCAATTGTTGATACTTTATTTAACGATCAGTTGTAAGTAAAATTTGGCAATGAGCTAATATTTACCTAATAAATTCATACAAATTATGGTACTCATTTCTCTGGATATTACGGAAGAGATGCTCTTGTTCAGATTTTAGTCTGATAAGAAGGTCAAAATAATGCATATTGGAACCACCGGCAGCATGCCTCTCGAATTCCACATAGTCAATCTAATACGAAAGCAAAAAAGTAAAACCTAATTGTTTAAATATCAGATGCTATCAACCAGTAATTGATATGTGGTGAGGTGGTCTGCAAGCACAGTCCATTATACCTCTTCATGAAGAATAAGAGTCGGAGGCTTAGGTAGAAAGAAGAAGCTCTTCTCAAGGGGATACAGAATTCCATCTTCAGCTTTCAAAGATGATTTCACAGCATAACCATCCTGACAACTCCTAAATTTTCCAGGCTTAGTCACTTTGGCACCAGACAACCCACGTAATATTGTAGTGAATACTTCATGAATAAGGCCCTGGTTGCGAATTGAAAACGAAACGCGTCAGATACTGCATCATGTGATATGCGTGCCCAACAATTACTAACTTCTCACATCACTCAATCTTTGAAAATATGCAAAGCAAGATGTTCTTTTCCAATTTCCCCAGCAGTCCTTGAAGAACAGTATCTCAGGGGTTTATGTATGGACATATGAATCACTTACAAACAGTTTTAAGTAATACCTTGTAAGACAGCTCTAACTTGTCCTTGTACTTTGTGTTATAAAGATCTTCATTCATTGCCAATTCACTTTGGACAACATAATCAGATTCAAACTATATAGAAATGAGCGAAACAATGTTAAGTTCATAAACAAGTAAAATGAACATCATTTAAATTAGCAAATCATGAACCATTGAGAAGCAGCAATTACCTGCATCACAATATGAGGGTACAAAGTTTGTCCCTTCCGAATAGGGGGATCAAGACTAATAATGACAAAGGTATGTGGTTGATTAGACTACAGATTACACATGAAAATTTGTCACTACACTTAACAAGTCCAAAAAAGAATCAATTTAAAGACATGGCTGGCTGATGTAATTGACATTCTACTTGTCACTTAATATGAAAAAAAATATCAGTCCAATAAAAGTACATAATCAGGAAATGAACCTTAGGAAGTAAAAATAGGCGAACCACACTGCTATATTGGATTTTGAAATCATTAGCCTGTCCCTGAAGCCGCAAGAATGACATGTGTAACTCAACAATGTATCGTCCTCTACATAAAGGAACAAAGTTTTATTATTAATACTTAATTGGAAGGACAATGATACAAGTGGTATAAAAGACAACGAGCCCAAAAATACTTGAATATATGTATATGCCTTTAAAGACATTACCTTAGTGTAAGGATCGCAATACTCTCAAATGTAACAACAGCATCTTCACCTCCAGCACCAACATCAGCCATAGACATTATTCTGCTGCGGAAAACCTGATGCAGAAAAGACAAAATGTCATTTAACCTAAAAATTATTATAACGCTGGATCTGTTAAACTTTCACAAAGAAACTCACTTCAGCAGGAGGAGTTTTTTCATCGCCAACAAACTGGGTGTTGGAACTTGGTATATGGAAACTTATCTCCATCAGTGAATCTTTCTGACACATTAAACATGATTAAACCATAAAAAGAATGCACAATCATTGAAAATTAATTTGTTAAAATGCATGAAAACGTAGATATACCTCATTAGCTCCAGTTGTGTCATCCACGTGAAACTCCAAGATCACATCATTCTTCCCTTGAAGCTGAGTTTGAGAGACATCTGCTAGCGACACCTCAAAAGCTTGCTTTGAACCAACCATGAAAGCCAACATATTTCCTGAAATGGAAATAGAAAGATAAAAATTCACTATTCCACAAGTGGAGTAGTATAACTATAGAAATGGTCAAGTCGGTTTTATCATTATCAAACAAGTTGCCCAACCTAAAGAGAGACGATTTGATGACAGAAGAAAACAAGAATGGGATAAAGGTTCTCTATCAGCAGTCAACCACCATTACCACCCAAACACTAAACAACTTTCCTATGTTAACAATTTTTTTCCACTCAAAATTGAACTTAATATGATTACCAAAGCGGAGGTAGTGGTGCTTAAATATATTTGACACCTAGCATGTTTGGGAAAGCTTTTTATCTTCAGTTTCAGTTGTTTTTTATCTTCGGTAGTAAAACGCTTTTTTTCAAAAAGAAAAAAAATGTTGCTTCCATGAATCCAAAGTTTTGTAGCTTGTGATTATTTCAAATAGTCTTTTCCTTTAGATTCAAAGGAATATGTTTTTCTCATGTAAAGATTGATTTTTTGTTGTTGCAATAAACAAAATAAGTTGAAATCACTTTTCGACAAATTTACCCAAACAAAAAACTGGTTCTAACCACAATAGATTGTAACACTATGATTATTGAAACTAATTAATTTTTACTTAACACACCCTTAGAGTATAACAAAAAGAAAATAAACAACTGCAGACTGAGGAAGAAAAAAAGTAGCACGGCAGCACATAAGTTCTCAGCCTTTCTTCATATATGGAAAACATCCAGTACTATACAAGATAAATCAGTGCTCTCCAAATAAGAACTGGAAGATATCAACCGAATTTCTCGAAAATAGGAGAGCTTTATCCTTTGCTAAAATTTTACATACCATTTCTTCATGGGTGCTACTGAATATCAAACAGAATACAATGTCAAATTAACTTTTTCCCCAGACACTAAATTACCAAATTTACAGCCAGTAAGGATGACAGAGATGCTTAAGATATATATGACAAATCATGCAGAGAATATCAATTACAACAAATAAGTCAGTTCGTGTAATATAGCAAACCATTCAGATCAACTTCTCCCCAATTTCTTCCGCTAACAGAAAGCTGCTTCTCGCGCACTGTTATTCCACAAGTGCTCTGGAAAAAATTGGTCAAACTTACAACATCCTGCAAAAATGTATAAAATTACGACATAATAAGCACCATTTTATAGCAATTGAAGTCCTTCAGTATTTATATCTGCCTAAGTGTTAAAAAGCAACAAAATATAGGAAACCAAACCAAAGCTATGAACTCATTTTTGCACAACAAACGTAAATTCACATTCTGGAGGGGTAGAAGGAGTAACCTGATCACGAAATCCAGTGAACTTGTAGTACAACCCATCTTTAATTTGAACACCAAGTTGGTTAGTCTTTGGAACCTTCATCCATGTTACCCCCTCTATATCAGATTTATCAACTTCAATTAATTTACCACCGCCCTGTCTCTTCCATACTATTCCACCAGAGTGTAATTTCATCTGTCCTGGATTCTGCAACCCCATAACATGAGAAGAAGTGTCATACATCTCAACTGCCAATTTCAGTCTCATTCACAAATTCACTAGAAAAATCCAATTCTTCGACTCTAATTACTATGAACATTGAATTGAAAAACAACAAATTGTAACAACTTGACACGGAACATGCAGTGCAACAGAGTAGAGGCCGTGCAGATTCAGTCTCATCCAACCGAATACTACATAAACGGTACATATTACACATAAAAAATCAAATAATTTTTACGGTAGAAGATATAAAGTTTGGAACAAAAATAACTCAATCAATTTCATCATACTATACAAAGATTGTATCCAATCCAAACAGACCCATATTTAGAATAGGAACAATGTGGAAATTAAAAAGTTATAAATCATTGAATTCCTCCATTTTTCAAAACAATAAAATGAAACCTTCGTTCCATTTCATTCTAAAACATCCAAACAGCGCAATGGTACTTTTATTTCATTCCAATCCATCCCATTCCATTCTGCTCCATTTTATTTCATTCTATACCACTGACTCAAACATAATCACAGATTCTTGAGAACAGTTTTTTATAACTTGTTCCAAACACTGAACTTGCATTCCTGGGAACACTGTTGTAAGACTCACTAATTCAAACACAGCCATAGTTTCGGAGGAATACTTTTTCAAAACTTTTACCAAACATGTTGCATTCTCAAGCTCACATTCCGGGAAGTTTTTTTACATGGCTAGCTAATTCAAAGACAGTCATAGATTCATGGAAATATTTTATTATAACTTGCACCATACACGGAAAGCAGTAGCAAAACGAAGGTTAGAGGGATTACGGTGCCTCCACGGCCTCCAAGAGTGATGTTATTGAATTGATGAAGGTCCGTCATGGCTGAAAATCAACGAGAGTGACGAATTTCACAACTGAAAAGAAAAAGCACCTCAACGGCACGTGCACAACCACATCAGAATCGCCGTGTAAGTGAGAAAGAGACGTCAAATTGCTGAGAAAACAAAAACTGAAGACGAAAAATTCAGTGCACAAATTTGGAAGTAATGCAGCACGAAGAGATATATCAATTGATTAATTGATAGTGAAGAAACGAAAATCGGATAGTGAAATAAAAGACGGAAAATTGCTCACATGATTACTAAGGAGAAAAGTGTGAGGATGACGAAGTTTGTTTGTTGTTCTTGCAATCAGAAATTAGTTGAACACCGAATGTGATGCAGTGAGACGTGGAACACGCCAACAACAAGTTCTTCATTTCTCATAATATTTCTACCATATTATTTTATTTTAATAATTTCTAAATTAATATTTATATCAACTTTAATAAATCAAATATTAAAATATAGATTATAGCATATTTATTTACACGAATTAAATTTATATATAGTAATTTAAACGTTTCTCCTGACATTTTTTATTAGTTTTTTTAGTCAATTTACACGAAGTAAATAAAGATAAAGTATGTGATTAATTTTGTAAAAATTAGAGGATACAAAAAATAAATAAAATTCAACATCACAAGTAAAATAAAAAAAGGCAACATATATTTATTTATTTATTCTGAATAATAAGAAAATCAGGTGAATTTGGAAGCCACTGCAATTCCCACGCCAACGGCAACACCAAAAACGCACAGCAGAGAAACCACACGAGCCCTAACGAAGAGCGCGTCCAACTGCTTCGCGGTTTGGAGCGTGAGCGTGAGGATCTGCAACCTCCCTTGCTCCTCCATTTTCCTGAAGAAGACAACCGGCTTCAGCGCGCGCCGCAGCATGAACGCCACCGAGAATGGAAACGCGAACGCCGCAAGACTCTGCACCGACACTTCCGTTAAGGGGTTCGATTTCGTCAGGTACGTGATCCACGCGCCGAGAGCGAGGTGAACAAGACCCAATGCAGCGAGCATGTGGCTTAGCCTGTACATGTTCCTCATCATGGTTTCCAGAACCACACGCGTCTCGGTCGCGAGCGGGGAGAGGTCTCGTTCCACTGTGGGGCCTTCGATCTCCTGGTGCTTGAAGTTTGGGTTTTGGCTTGGGTACGGGCTTTGGGCTTGGGCTTGGGCTTGGGCTTGATCTGGGGTTGACTTGCGGGCTTCATCGGAGTCTGAAGATGAAGAAGACGAGGAAAATTGCTTTGATGAGAGAAAGGTGAAGGGGATGAAAGGAGAGAATGGATTTTGGGAGGGTTTGAAAATTGAGAAATTAGGGTTTTGGGAAAACGGAGTGATTGAAGAAGATGAAGAAAAACGACAGGATTTTAGGAGCGAGGAGGTTAACGTTGACCTTAGTCTTCGCGAAATTATGGCGGCCATTGGCGTAAGAAGGAAGCAGAATTACGAGACTGTGTAATGGGTGAAAGTGGAAAACTGAAAAACAAAATGTTCTTCTGGTCTTCTGAATTTCGTTTTCTTCCAACAACAGTGAAGATAAACAGTAGCAAGTGGATTAATTACATTTTAAAAATGTTTAAAATTAATGAAAATTATTTATTTAATTGCTAAAAGTTAGTTTTCTGAAGTGTTAAGACAACTAAGTAAAAATTAATTAGAGTATATATATATATATTTCCATACTAGTCAAAATTACAAAAATATTATATAAGGGAATCTCCTTTTGCACCACCATAAGTTTCTTCCACCCTCCAAAATGTTCATTTTACCATATTTTCTATTAAATGACAATGAGAGTTGTTGTAACGACGCATATAGTAGGTGGTTTTGAGTTTTACATTTTTTATTTATGGCTTTTAGAGGTTGTGAATTTTTGGTTTGGTGTTCTTTCTAAAATGTGAAATTTGAAAGCTTCCTAAATTTTATAATTTAAAAGTTTTCTGGATTGTGTGTTGTATAAATGAGATAAATGTTCTTTTAAATTAAAATTGTACTTTACATTAATTATGATTTATTATTTTTTATTACCAATTATGTTATTATTACTTTATTATTTAAGTGAACATCTATAATTAATTCATATAGAAAGATCATTTTTATCCCTAAATCATTAATTATTAAATTTTTATCAATTATGATTCTACTAAAATGAAATATATATTTGGTTTTGTATGACATTAAAACAATTATAAGTTTACTAAAAGAAAAATATAAGATGAAAAAAAGTAGAAAAAATTATAAATATTTAAAAGTAAAAGAAAATAAGTGAAATATCACATATTTTAATACACATTTTATAAATTAACAATATTAAAGTTTGTATTTTCTTAAAAGGCAAAATAATAATAACTTTAAAGAATTTTAGAAAAGAAAGTACACTTATAAACATTAAAAAGAAAAAAATAGGAAAAAAGATAAAAGAAATATTAAAAGTAAAAAAATACAAAATAGTTTCATAATTGTAAATCACATAAATAAACATATTATTAAAATACATAAATATGACTATCACTACCGCATTCATTTGGCATGAATCATGATAATAAATTTCAAGATTCAATTGTGTTTTTTCTATTATTATTTAAATTAAGGAGTTAAGATGTATAGTTAAAAATAAATCTAAGAAACATATGAATAATATTGTTTTTGATATGAAATTTTTTAATATAGATTAGTTTTATTTATGTTGAAATTTTTCTAGCTGACTCAAGGTGAATACTGACAATATAGATAGGATTATCCTGATTTAACTCGATGTGTTGATATTTTTAGAAAAAAATAAAGTGAATATATGAGTAATTTTTAAGCGGTTTTAAAGGTGTAGACTTCTATTTATGCTAAGTTTGTAAGGTCATTTATGCTTTGGAACATGCTTGGAGGAAGAACTTTGAGAGGCTTTGGTTGGAGTGTGATTCTTCTTCAGTTTGTCATGATTTTTTGATCAACAAGTGATTCCTTAGAATCTTAGAAGGAGATAATGTCGGTGTTTGCATTTTTGTAAGCATATGTAATATAGTTTCTCATGTTTTTCATGAAAAAAACTATTGTGCTGATAAGTTAGCTAATTTAGTTTTGATTCATAGAAAACAATATATGTGGTTTAATGTTTTACTATCATGCATTTATTTAGATTTTTTTCATAGTATAGTCTGCCTATGTTTCATGAAGTTTAATTTTTATCATGAGTTTGATGTGGTCTTTCATACTTTGTATTCTTTTATTATTTTTTTAATAAATTTTATGTAAAGATAAATGATTAAAGGATTTTGAAGTGTTAGTACATTTGAGATATCAAAGTTTCTAATAAGGTCTAATATTACCTTATTGAAAAATACATAAATAAAAATAGATTTGTTTAAAATTACCAATTAAATTTGAACAATATTTTAAAACTACACTAATTAAAAGAAAGAATCAAATTAAATTAAACATGAATATGAAATTAAATATCAAATTAAATCAAATATGAAATTAAATGTTAATTTAAATACAAAATTAAATCAAATATAAAATTATGAAATTAAATATTAAATTAAGTTATTAAATAATTTACATAAATTAATTATATTATATAATATAGTTAATTGATGGAAGCATTAATGTTGTTTTAAATGGAATTATAAAATTTAACCCTAAATTATATATTACAATATTATAATTATTCCACAATATCACTGTTCTCCTGTTATTTCGATTGTCTTTTGGATTCATGTTGCTATCTTTTTTATTAGTTTATCTTAGATAGATCAAAACAATGTTCAATCTTCAGTCTAAGAAAGATGAGTACACGTAGAAAACACTTTGATACTAAAATTAGTTTTATATCATGTTCTCGAACAAGTAATTATCAAATCAAAGGAATATGAACATTTTACCTCACCACTCCTTCTATTTATAAGGTTACATTATGGGCTTTACACTATTCACAAATTAATTAGTGCATAATCACATCCTAATTATATTTAATATTGTTCATGCACTTTCAATCATCTATTTTGTCCTCTAATCTTGTTTTATGTTGTGAAGTAAGCACCCATCAATTGTAGAAAAAGTTATGCACCAAACAAGTAACATAAGTCAAAGTTGTTAATAACTTATACCATGAGAATCTTACCTTAAAAATCGTTCTATATACATATCTTCAACCAAAGATCCCAATGGTCAAAGTAAAGAAATATGTGTCTAGAACCAACTATTGAAGTCTCAACCGGATCTGATGGTTAATGAAGTGGGAACCTATATTTTTTCAAAATGACAAAATGTAAGAATTTGGCTAGCGTCCAATGCTGGTAAATGGCGCTCAAAGTTAGCAAGACAGTGAATCACTATCCAGAAGGCACCCAACGGTGAAGGGGTGGTGCTCAACACCACGCATGCAGTGTCTTATGGTTTGATCTCTAGACATGCTAGTTCCCCAACGATGGAAAGGTATCGCCCAACAGTGGTCGTGACAATACCCTAAAATCACCTAAATATAGGTCCAAAATCCCACATGCCTTAACCCCAACCAAAACAATTCAAACCCAACACACTAAATATACATTTTACGACACCCATTCATGCAAATCAAAGCTCATAATTTCAAACAAGACTAGCTTCTCTCACCTCAAAGGAACCCTAAGTTCTTCAATACCTTCCCATGACTCCAACTCTGAGAGAACCTAACTACAACAACAAGATCAAATTAATGATATGTGGACATGACTAGACTCACCAACATGCACAAAATTCGCGAGAGTAGAAATAACCTACATACAACTCAAAAAAAGGCTAAGAAAATGAAGATCATAACTTAGGTTTTATAAAATAAAGTTGAAAATTATAAAATAAGGTTGAAAAAAACTTATTTTATTTAATATTTCAATTGGTGGGTTTTTGTAAAGTTCAAATGACTCCAATTACAACATTTGCTTAAAGAGAATTGAGATTTGAATTAGTTATAAAAATAAAAATAGAGATTGGAAGGTAAGGTTTGTAATGAATTTCATGTGCATTTCTTTTAAGGTTATGTATCGTAAAGGATATTTAGGTGTTTTCACAATTTATATTATATTTTTATTTGATATATTATATTTAACTAATAAAATATAATAGTTTTACTTTTAGTAGAAAAAATAATAATTTAGTATTGATAGGTAATATAACATGATAATCTAATGCTTCCTAAAATAAAGATAAAACATTTTTTAATATATATATATATATATATATATATATATATATATATATATAATCACTAATTTGGTATAATTGTTTTTAAAACTTTTAAATAAATAATATATGTAAATTAATAATCAATTTAAGTCTAATTTAATTTTATATTTGAAACAGTCAATTAGTTAAAAATCGCGATAAATTAAAAAAATGAAATTGAAAATTTTAGATTAAATAAAAAAGTTTAGTTAATGCTTTTTAAATCTAGAGTTGTCTTTCTCTTAGTAAATGTATAAAAACCAACGTTTTGTGTGCTAATCATAATAATTTTGAGACATTCTCAAAACAAGAAAATGTCCCAACAACAAATTTGTCACTTTCTGTGCTAACTTGTCTTGGCGTACTCTTTAAGTAAATCTTTAATAAAATTCAATCATAATAATAACTTAGCACTACACTAACGTTAAACACAAGTTATTAAATATTAAATAATGAATTACTAAATAGCCTTAAACATTTTAACAACTAAATATCTTCATTTAGTTAACTTTTTTCTCAAAAATTTAAATATGTATGTTTTTTCTCCAAACCCTTGTAAAAAATGTACTTTAGACTAAAATTAAATTATAATTTATTCCGTTCCTCAACTTAATGAAAATCAAGTAATTTATAAAGATTGGGACGAAATTTAATTTAAAATTAAAACATAATTTTTTTATAATAGTTTAAGAAAAAGTATATATTTAATCTATTTCTAAATATGCATACTAGATTTATTTTTCGTAAACTCCAAACCATTATTGGTATATAGTCACCTTAAAATTGTAAACAATTTTAAACTTAAATATGTATATATCATCAACTACATTTATTATTATTTTTAGAACATATAGATGAAATTTGGATTGTCCATAAAATATTTTCTCAAACCCAAATTAAGAATATAAAAGGTGTGGCAAAGAGGTGAAATATGTGGTTAAGATAATATCTAAAAGAGAAAGAAAGAAAAAAAAGGTAAGAAAATTCATGTCAACATCCAATTGCAATGAACATGAACAGTGAAAGAAGGATTAAACACCATACGTGTCACTTTCAACTATAACTTTCTATGAGTGCATAGAAAAGCTGAATTTGTAGCCGTAATGAGAGAAAGACAATGGAAGAAAGCAAAGGAAGAGTGTGTGTAACAGGAGGAACAGGTTTCATCGGTTCATGGATTATCAAGACCCTCCTTCAAGACGGTTACTCTGTTAACACCACTGTTAGACACAATCCAGGTAATAATACAAAAGCTACTCACATGCTAAATTTTTTCCAGAATCACAACAACATTCTCTTTCTCCATCATAAACTTTTTATGTTATAGATTTTCAAATCAAAGT